TGTTGTCTTTTATTAGGATTTTAATTTTGCCATGTAAGCAGTCTTATCCTTACTTCAGAATTAATATAAATAGAAAGAGGGGGCGGCAGATTAAGCATCATCTTTTCTAAAATCCTTCCTTCGAAATCTTCTTCTCTTCTTTTCTCTTCCTCTCATTCTCTCCTCTCATCCTCTTAATTTCCCATTGATTATACAGCACAGAGCTTAGGCTGTCAGTAGTCTCATACGACTACATGATATTAGAGCCAACCTAGGAAATCTTATGATAGTCTAACATGGCCGGTTGCATAAGAATTTCCTAGGGTTGGAAATTTTCCAACAAAAAAGGATCATCGGCTGAGTCTTGGAGATTGTTGGTGAAGCATCAGAGGATGACCAGCAATCAGAAAATCAGAAGGAAGAACCCTCAAGATTAGGGTTCAGACTTATCTTTGAAGGTTGCGGCCAGAGTTTTGCTGAAGTTCAAGATTCTAGTTTCTTGACTGTCGCCAATTCTAGGGCTGTAGTTAGTTTCAGCCTTGCACTCTAAGTTATACTTGGAAGGTTATCTTTTTTGGGTGGATTGCCGACCTAGAAGGATAAAGTAGGTTCGACTGATAGCAAATTCTGGGTGTAATTACCCAGTCTCAGTGATACAAAAGGCATTTGTTAATCTTTTCTTGACAAAGAATAGAGTTTAAGAGCCAAGGTGAAAACTATTTAGGGGTTGGTGGTGCTAGTAGCATACCTGAGAACAGTTTTCAGATTACCACTATAAAATTTGATGGGTCAAACTACCTAGAGTGGGCCCAATAAGCCATGATGGCTATTGGGGGTAGAGGAAAGCTAAGTTATTTACTGAGAGATGTCAAGGAACCAGCCAAGGAGGACTAAATATATACCAAATGGGTTCAAGAGAACTATTTGGTTATGACATGGCTGTGTAACTCCATGCAACCACATATCAGCCGAAATTATTTATGGGCAAAAGCAGCTAAAAAAATTTGGGATATCATGAAAGAAACCTACTACCAAATGGGTTCAGGATGTTGGAAGCTACACCCTCATCTAGTTCCCGCAAAACTCAGGAACAAAAAGGGGAATGCTAATACAGCTGTTACTACTGATTGTACAACCTCATCAGGCACAAGAGCAGCACCACTAGACACTCTAACTACTGCCCGAGCTGCCTTGACTCAGTTGGAAAAGGAGGTTGGTAATTCAGCATCATCATCTCAGCCAGTCACAACATTAGCTCCTCCCACCTCAGCATTTGCTCATTCAGGTACACGGGCATCAACTTATCATGCTTCAGCTCCAGGTAACACTGAACATTGCTGGGTAATAGACTCGGGTGCATCTAATCATATGACTAGTTTGCCTTCACTATTTACTACCTATCACTTATCCTCTGGTAAAGACAATGTGTCTATTGCTGATGGATCACTTGTTCCCATTTCTAGCAAGGGAGATGTCAAGTTGTCTAGTGCCATTTCCCTGTCTTCTRTTCTGCATGTTCCTAAACTTAGCACCAATTTACTTTCAATTAGCAGCATTACTAAAACCAGAATTGCTCAGTAACCTTTTTTCCTGATCGATGTGTTTTTCAGGACTTGGAGACAAGGAAGGTAATTGGGACTGGCCATGAGACAAATGGAATCTATTTGCTTGGAGAAAGTTCACAGTGGGATGGTAGTGAAGTTAGAGGATCTTTTGTTTCTCAGTCTATTAGTCAAGTCATGCTTTGGCATAACTGATTGGGTCATTTATCCTTTAGGTCTTTGAAAAGCTTGTTTCCTAGTTTATTTGAATCTATCCATATGTCCAATTTAAAGTGTGAAAGTTGTGAGCTTGCAAGGAGCATTGTAGAACAATATATTAATTAAGTAATAAGAGAAGTAGTGTTCCTTTTGACATTGTGCATTCCGATGTTTGGGGACCATATCACATCACTGCTATGGAGGGTACAAATACTTCTTGCTGTTTGTTGATGACTACACCCGGTTTTCTTGGGTCTACTTGATGCGTTCTCGAGATGAGGTCCCTACCCTAACTCAGACCTTTCATCAGATGATTTTAACCCAGTTTGGGATAAAAATCAAAATTTTCAGATCCGATAATGCGAGAGAATACTTTAAAACATCACTAGCCTCTTATTTTCTTGACCATGGGATTATCCATCAGACTACCTGCCCTCATACCCCTCAGTAGAATGGGGTGGCTGAGAGAAAGAATAGGCACATATTGGAAGTAGCTAGAAGTATCGTATTCAACTCTAATGTGCCTATACATTTCTGGGGAGATGCCATTCTCACAGTTGTGTATCACATCAACCGAATTCTTTCACGGGTTCTTGACATGAAACCCCCATTCACTCTTTTATATCCTGATAAATAGTTGTTTTCTATCCCTCTTAAAACCTTTGGTTGTACCTGCTTCGTGCAAACTCTTGGCCCCCACTGTTCCAAATTTGACCCTAAAGCTTCAAAATGTATTTTCTTTAGTTATGCACAAACTCAAAAGGGATACTGCTGCTACGAACCTGCTTCAGGAAAGAGATTTGTATCCATGGATGTTACTTTCTTTGAGTATGTACCTTATTGCTCTRGGGTTTCTTCTCAGGAGGAGAGTAGTGCGATTGGGGTTAATACATCAGAAGTCCCTTTACCTGCTCCATTGAGTGAAAAGGGGTGTAATGGGGGGGGGGGTTGTCAAAAATGTCGGGATTTGAGAGTTTATCACAGACGATGGAGGCAGGTTGATTTCGGTCATCAGCAATCTAGGCCAGCCCCAATTCCTTCTGAAGATCCAGATCCAGGTATTAAATCTCTTCCAGCTCCCATTACATATGAGCCTTCTGCTGTTGAGCCTTCTCCATCTTCTAAGCCCTCACTTCCATTGAATGACCTTGACCTTCCCATTGCAGTCCATAAAGGCAAACGACGTTACACCTCATCCACAGCCCACTGTATCTCACAATTCTTGTTCTATGATCACCTGTCTCCCTCTTACAAGTCCTTTCTTACATTAATTGATAATATTCCCATTCCCAAAACARTACAGGAAGCCCGGACCATTCCTGAGTGGAAAGATGCAATGAAGGTAGAAATGGATGCTCTTCTAAGAAACAATACCTGGGAACTAGTTGATCAACCCAAAGGGAAGAAACCAGTTGGATATAGATGGGTGTTTACTGTGAAACATAATGTTGATGGTTCCATTGAAAGATATAAGGCTCGGTTAGTTGCAAAGGGATTTATTCAGACTWATGGTATAGATTACTTGGATACTTTTGCATCAGTAGCAAAAATGACCACTATCAGAGTGTTATTATCTCTTGCAGCCAGTTATTCTTGGCCATTGTTCCAAATGGATGTTAAAAATGCCTTCTTCAATGGAGACTTGCAAGGAGAAGTGTACATGCAATTACCTCCTGGTTTTTATAGTACAGAGACAGGTAAGAAGGCTTATCGGTTGAATAAAGCTTTATATAGACTAAAACAGTCACCCAGAGCTTGGTTTGATAGATTCAAACAAGCCCTTGAAAAGTTTGGTTATGTACAGGCTCAATCAGATCACACTTTGTTTATTAAGAAAGTTAATACTTCCTTGGCTCTACTTGTTGTATATGTRGATGATATTGTAGTAACAGGGAGTGATAACAACGAAATTGAGTCTCTTAAGAAACTTCTCCATCAAGAATTTGAGGTAAAGGACTTGGGAGAGCTACGATATTTCTTGGGTATTGAAATAGCTCGGTCCAAGCATGGAATCTTTGTTTCTCAAAGTATGTCATTGATTTGTTAGAAGAAACAGGAAAAGTTGGGTGTTAAGCAAGTTGATACACCTATTGAACAGAATCACAAGATTAGTGCAGAAGGTGGAGGGCCTCTTGAAGATAAAACTATGTTCAAAAGATTAGTTGGTAAACTACTATATCTTTGTCTTATACGACTAGACATCAGCTATGCAGTCAGTGTTGTTAGTCAGTATATGTACTCTCCCAAAACTACCCACCTACTTGTTGTAAGAGGATATTGGCATATTTAAAGAGGTGCCCAGGCAGAGGTGTACCATTTAAGGATAATAATCACATGAAGATAGAAGTTTACACAGATGCAGATTGGGTCGGTTGTGTTGATGATAGAAGGTCTACATCTGGATATTGCGCCTTTGTAGGAGGTAACCTTGTTTCTTGGAGGAGTAAGAAACAAAATGTTGTTTCTCATTCCAGTGCTGAAGCTGAATATCGGTCCATGGAAAATGGTGTGGCTGAAATACTATGGTTGAAATCACTGTTTGATGAATTGGGTATTACCTATGARAAACCTCTAATGTTGTACTGTGATAATCAGGCTGCTATTAATATAGCTCATAACCCGGTACAACATGACAGAACCAAGCACATTGAAGTCGATCGACATTTTATTAGGGAAAGAGTTGCATCTCAAGAAGTCTGTCTTCCATATATCAGCTCCAACATGCAGTTTGTTGATCTTCTCACCAAGGCAGTTTCAAAGAAGAAGTTAGAAGCAGATCTATGCAAGTTGGGAATGACAAACATCTATTCCCAACTTGAGGGGGAGTGTAGAAACCACTGATGTGGTCCCCACCTCTTTCTATTGTACTCRTATACAACTACTATGTGGTCCCCACCTCTTTCTCTTGTACTCGTATACAACTACTAGTTATTTAAGTGTCAGTCCACAATTAGTTGTTAGTCTTTTATTAGGACTTTAATTGTTGTCTTTTATTAGGATTTTAATTTTGTCATGTATGCAGTCTTATCCTTCAGAATTAATATAAATAGAAAGAGGGGGGCGGCAAATTAAGCATCATCTTCTTTTCTGAAATCCTTCATTCGAAATCTTCTTCTCTTCTTTTCTCTTCCTCCTCTCATTCGAAACCTCTCATCCTCTTAATTTCCCATTGATTATACACGACAGCTTGGCTGTCAATAGTCTCATACGACTACAGTTTGAATTTTCCCAACAGAATAGGATTATTGATAAAAAAACAGATTCCACAAGACAAGCTAGGTTGTAGTTTTTTTTCCCAGAATATTTGTTCTCACTTCATTAACAAGTGCTGAAATTTGCAGTTCAATAACATATATGTCTCTTATTTTGGTGGAATGTGATAATTTTGGTCTGAAAACAAGACTACACATGGATCACATGTAACTTTATATCTGATCCAAAATTACCTCTGCACCTGAAACCTGGAATTCAGATGGAACTTTTTCTACATTCAGAACCTTGACCTTCCCATCTACCACATAGGCAGACCATCTGAACAATATCAACACAGGTAAGACTATCAAAACCAAAGAAAGAGGATGATGAGGCTTCAAGAAAAAATCTAAATATTTACCTACTCATCTATGACAGTGCAGAAACATGTATTTGGACATTGAGGCTCTGTTTGTTTGCAGTGCAAATCTAAATTGAATACAAATTTTGCACCCAGTTCAGTTTTGCATCCATTTATTTGTAACTATGATTTGCACTCTCTGATAAAAAAAAGTTGTACTTTTTGTCTTATTTGCATTCATTGGCACTGCAAATTCTTTGCATCTCAAAAACTGATAAAAAATTTGCACCAAATTAGACAACATAATTTTACTCTTCTCACAGACAAATTAGACAAAGTGAAATCTGAAACAAAAGCTAACCAGAATTTATACTGTGCCTATTTGCACTTCCGTGCATTTATACCAATGTAAATGAAATTTGCACTGCAAACAAACTGAGCCTGAGGGACAGAAATAGCAGAAATCAAGGACAAATGTGTAAAGATAATCAAGGCAAACCTTTGTGAACGAGGGCCAAGCAAAGCAGCAGAGAGATCTAACCCCAACTCCAAACTTTTGTGAAAGTTCCCATCAAAGTCACCATAAAATTCAATCTAGAAATGCACAACAAGTAATATTTATATAAGCTGCTATATTTGGACTAGACCCAGTGACAGAAGATAAATAAATAATTAAACTGGAGTTGCAATGTGGTAAGGATGCTGAGCAAGACAAAAGCCCATTTAAGTCAGTCAGGCCCGTCAAGAAGGTGTACACCAGAGGTCCAAGTAAGCAAGTTGAATACCTGTTGGTTGTAGGCAGTTGTAACAAAATTAACAAAATGTTAAGGCTGTATATAAAGAGGAGAAACAGGAATAAGAAATCAAAGTTTTCCCTTCGAATTTGCTCTCTCTCTCTCTCTGAAGGTAGAGTCTCCCTCGAAGTTAGACTCCTGCGGTGAGAAGGAACTCACCAATTCTGGTATCAGAGCTCACAAGAAAGATCAAGATGACTAACTCCCAATCTGCCTCCATAGAAGACCAAGTTGATCTGATTGAAGTGGATCTGCATAAGTTCACCAGCGAATTCAGGGACATCAAGGAATCCCTTGCAATCTTGATTGCATGAAGTGAAAAATCCAACACTACAACAAATTTTAAAGAAGTAGAGGCAGAGGACTCCAGCCAAGGTAGCGCAAGAAGAAATGGCGGAAGCTACTCTTGAGTCTCGAGTCAGCAGGATAGACTTTCCCATCTTCAGTGGCCTTGTCTTGGATTATCGAGCAGAGAAATATTTTGAACTACAAGAAACCGCCAGACACTAGCCATGGTTTCAATCTAATTGGAAGGAGAAGCGAACAACTGGTTTTAGTGGTACAAAAGATCACATCCTCAACTGACGTGAAACGACTTCATAGAGGCTCTCGGCATCAGATTCAAGCCATCCTACTTTGAAGATTTCAATGAAGCATTGGCCAAGATTCATCAAGTAGGGACAATATGAGAATATCAGGTGGAATTTGAACGGCTGGCGACAAGGGTACAGGGTTGGCCAAAGCAAGCCCTCATCAACTACTTTGTTAGAGGTCTCCAAGATGATATTCGAATGGAAGTCAAAGCCATGCAGCCAAATACGATAGCCACAGCAGTYGATTTAGCTAGACTCCATGAAGAACGAATCAACAGACTGAAAATTGACCATTGGGACCCATCCTGAAGACACCATCGTATCTGAAAGGACATTCCATGCCACAACAAGCCCATGTTATTCCATCAAAAAGACTATCCTAGGTGAAGATGCAAGATCGATGAGAGAAAGGCCTCTATTTTAATTGCGAGGAAAAATTCTCCCCCGGTCATCAACTCATTGCTGCAAGAAACAACAAGCATTCTTGCCACAAACCGACTATAACGAATGGGAAGAACTTGTTGAGAACATAGGCAAATCAAAACAAGAAATCAAACCCAGTGAACCAGCTATCTCTCTGCAAGCCCTTACAAGTATGCATTCGACCAGAACAATGAGGGTGGTGGGTCAGATTCGAGGCCAACGTGTCTCGGTGCTCATCGATAGTGGAAGAACTCTAAATTTTGTAACACTGGTGCTCACCAAACAATTGGAGTTACCCGTGCAACCACTGCTCCATTCTCTGTACATAGCAAATGGGGGAGGTATACGGTGCAAGGGGGTTTGTTTCAAGGTGGCATTGCTCATTCAAGGATGTGGATTTAAGGTGGACCTTCATCCGTTGGACTTCTATGGATCGAACATCGTATTGGGAATCCATTGGTTAAGCGAATTGGGCCCAGTGACACATGATTTGGCCAAGCTCACCATGGATTTCATCCAAAATGGGAAGCCATGCCACATCAAAGGGATAGGGCCGAACACAATCCAACTGAGTTGTCTACAAACCTTACTTAAGGACTGTCAATCAACAACAAGTACCACTCTTATGAGTCTAGGCCTTAGCAACTTAGGCCCGACTCTCTCAAATGGGGGGACTTCAAAAGCCTCAGAAGCCCAAGAGACTGAACTTCAATCGTTGTTGCAAGACTACTCAAACATCTTTCAAGAACTGACAGCGTTGTTGACATCTAGAGAACAAGATCATCGGATTTCGATACAACCGGGAGTATCACCAGCAAACGTATGGCCTTATAAGTATCCGCACTGGTCATAAGACAAAAATCGAGATGGTGAAGGAACTACGAGACAAAGGTATGATCCAACTCAGTACCAGTCCCTATTTGGCCCCCGTACTTTTAATTAAAAAGAAAGATGGAACTTGGCGTTTCTATATAGATTACCGTGCATTAAATAAAATCATTTTGAACACATGATGAGCTCGGGCTGGCCACTCATTTTTCCAAGCTGAAGTTAAGAGCAGGGTATCACTAGATTAGAGTGCACCCCCATGATGTCTATAAGACAGCATTTTGAACACATGAGGGCCATTATGAAATATGAATTTTTGGTGATGCCATTTGGCCTCACTAATGCACCCTCTACGTTCCAATCACTAATGGATGAAATTGTCCAGCCATTCTTACAGCAATTTATATTGGTGTTTGACAACACTCGCAAAGATTGGACTTCTCACATGCAGCACTTACGTACTAGCTGTATGCCAAAATGCCCAAATGTGATTTTGGAAAGAAACAGAGTCCTTATCTTGGGCATATCGTCTCAGCTGGTATAGTAAAAGTAGACCCGAAAAAGGTTCGATGCATTCTGGAATGGCCCCAACCCACTTAAGTTAAGAATCTCCAGGGTTTCTTGGCCTTGCAGGATATTATCGCCGCTTTATGCAGAATTATGGGACTCTGGCAGTCTGGCTGCTCCCTAACACATTAACTAAAGAAGAACGGTTTTGAGTGGTCTAAAGTAGCTGAGTCCGCCTTTACTACATTGAAGCAGGTTCTCACTATACCTCCGGTGTTAACATTACTGGACTTTTCTAAAGAATTTGTGGTGGAATCAGATGTGTCAGGCACGATGATAGGAGCTGTTTTACTACAGGAAGGAAAATCAGTAGCTTACTTCAGCAAAGCCATCCCAAAACAAGCCCAAGGAAAATCAACATACGAGAAAGAATTGATGGTTGTGGCCCTTGCAGTCCAGAAGTAGAGGGTATTTACTGGGCCGCCATTTTACTATCCACATAGATCACAAATGTTTAAAACATTTGATGAAACAACCGGACCTATCAGATGTTCAACAAAAATGGTGGTACAAACTTCTAGGTTTTGATTTCACAATTGAATGCAAACCAAGTCCCACCAACGTGATTGCTGATGCACTCTCATGACAGCATGAATTGGGCCAATTATCAGTGTCTCAACCCATTTACCCCTTGGCGGGTCAGCTGAAAGAAGAAGCCTTTCAAGATGAACACCTTACTAAAATACAGAATGAGCTGGTGCAAGGCAAGGGCCATCTACCTGGATATTCAGTTTTCAATGGCATCCTAATGTTCAAGGGGAGAATGGTTATTCCAGTGTAGTCAGCTCACATCCCAGCCCTCCTGGAATTGTTCCATGCCTCTCCAGAAGATGGTCATTCAGGAGTCTTGTGCACTCAAAAAGGATGGCTTCACATTTCTATTGGGTAGGCATGAAAAAGCACATACATACTTTTGTATCCCACTGCTCCACATGCCAAAGACACAAGTATGATACCCAAACACCAGCTGGATTACTTCAGCCTATCCCACTTCCTGATCAAGTCTGGGAGGAAATCACGATGGATTTCATCATAGGCCTTCCGGCTTCATCAAGCAAGACAGTCATTGTAGTCTTTGTGGACAGACTCTCTAAATAAGCCCACTTTGCACCACTGGCCCACCCATATACAGCGGCACAAGTGGCCAAGCTTTTATTCAGGAAGTCTCACAGCTTCATGGGACACCAAGAGCTATCATTTCAAGTCATGATGCAGCCTTCATGAGCAAATTCTGGTCTGAATATTTCAAGGCCCAAGGAACCAAGCTACATTGCTCAACCAGCTACCATCCACAAACAGATGGCCAATCCGAGGTGGTTAATCGTACACTAGAAACTAATCTACGAGGTTTTACAAGTGATTACCGCCAGGCATGGCTCAAATGGTTACCATGGGCCGAGTATTGGTACAACATCTCGTACCACAATTCACTACAAGCAACCCTATTCAAAGCTCTCTATGGATGAAACTGCCATCCTTAATACCCTATGAAAAAGGCTCAACTGCAGTGGCAGAAGTGGATGAGTATCTAACCCAGAGAGATGCTGTCCTTGGGGACCTTAAAACCAATCTTTTACAGGCCCAACAACAATGAAAAAACACTATGACAAGAAGCAACGGAATGTCTCTTATGAACCAGGAGACTAGGTCTATCTAAAACTTCGGCCATATAGACAGAGTATCCTGGCAAAAAGAATCTCCCAGAAGCTGGCTCTGTGATTCTATGGATCATTTCAAATCCTTGAAAAGGTGGGTAAGGTTGCCTATAAGCTAGACCTGCCAACATCATCCAAGTTACACCCCACCATCCATGTTTCTCTGCTGAAGAAACACCTAGGGCCAAAGGCTCCTGTTTCACCAACACGACCAGAATTCTCAGAAGAGGGAACCTTGATGCCAGAACTAGCTGAAATCGTGGACTTCAGAATCACCAAGAAGGGTAAGGCCACAATTCAACAAGCCCTGGTTGTTTGGAAGCATCTCCCAACTGAACATGCCACATGGGAGGACTACCACACTATCTTGCGCCAGTTCAGTCATCTCAACCTTGGGGACAAGGTTGCTCTCATGGGGGATGGAATTGGTAAGGATGCTGAGCAAGACAAAAGCCCATTTAAGTCAGTCAGGACCATCAAGAAGGTGTACAGATCACCTCTGTCTTCACTGTTCGGTTTCCTCCTTGGTGTGGGAACATTTCCTGAAATCAATGGACATCAACTGGGTTATGCCAAGGTCGGTCAAGGAGTTGCTGTGCTGTTGGAACGTTAAAGGCCTAAGCAAGAAAGGAAAATTAGTGTGGAAGACCATTCCTGCAGCTGTCTTGTGGTTCATTTGGACTGAAAGGAACAATAAAATTTTTTGTAATAGAGCTAAAGTCCTGAAGAGTTAGTGCAGAGAGCTGTGGGCAAGCTGTTCTCTTGGGTGTCTGTGACTGAGGAGTTTAGACACCTTAACTTGTCTCTCTTGTTTCGGTCTCACTCTTGGTGATCTGTAACATGTCTTGTTGTCAGGCTGTCATTTTGACCTGGGTATTGTTGTATTTTCTCCTTTCTGTTTGAATCAATTTACCTTACCTTTTCAAGGTGTACACCAGAGGTCCACATAAGCAAGTTCAATACCTGTTGGTTGTAGGCAGTTGTAACAAAATTAACCAAATGTAAAGGCTGTATATAAAAAGGAGAAACAGCAATAAGAAATCASAGTTTTCCCTTCAAAATTGCTGCCCCTCTCTGAAGGTAGAATCTCCCTCAAAGTTAAGACTCCTAGGGTGAGCAGGAACTTTTTTTTTTATTGGAAGGGTGAGCAGGAACTCACCATAATGATATTGACATCATCATCATCCAAGCCTTATCCCAACCATATGGGGTCAGCTACATGAATCCTACTTCACCATTCCATTTTGTTTAATGTCATACACATTATTAAATTCTTAGTGCTTAAATCATTTCTTATTACTTCAACCCATGTCCTTTTTTGTCTACCCCTACCCCTTCTAGCCCCTTCAACTTGCAACGGATCACTTCTTACAGGTACTTCCAAAGGTCTTCTATGGACATAACCAAACCATCTTAGTCTACTTTCTCTCATTTTCGAATGACCCTATACTTTCTAATTTTTCCACTCATCCATCTCAGCATGCACATTTCTGCCACACTCATTTCTTGGACATATTGTTTCTTTGCTGCCCAAGACTCTATTCCATATAACATATCTGGCCTTACAACTGTTTTATAGAATTTTCCTTTTGTTAAATCTGTTAATATCTATGTAATATGTGTCACAGGGACACTATAGTCTTTTGTATTCTTATTATTAAGTCATGTGACCCTAATATAAATAGAAGAGCTGGTGCCACCAACATGACTTTTGACTCTCTAACCTTCATTTCTCCCTTCCTCTCTTCTCCTCTCTCTTCTTTCTTCCTTCTTTCTCCTTTTCTCTTTATTTCTTACTTTCATCAAGACAACGCCTTTTTCATCTAAAAATTGCCATCATTATGCAGATAATAATTGAAGAAGTCAGAGGAGATATTGAGAGAAATTCCCACAACACAAATCACTAAACAGAAACCTCATTTATCAACTCAACGTCTCAACCCTAAAGATACCAACTACAAAGACTTTCTTTTTACTAAAACTCCTAAAACAATTCAACAACCCATTAGGCTATTACTAATCCTACCACAAAGACTTTGTTTCCCATTCTTCCTCCTTACTTTTCTTATTATTTTTCAAATAGAATTTTAGAAAATTGACAATTGAAACAAAAATTGAATTAGAATTTATTCCTTACTTTTGTGGCTTGTGTAAAATCTCAGGCTAACAAGCATGAGAAGATGGATTTGAGTTTGAGAGCATCCACTTTGTGCAAAAAACTGCTGAAGGATAGGTCCATATCCAGTCCAGCCCTCCCAGGACACTAGATACCCAGGACCAAGATTGGGTAGTGGTCCTTAATTTGTTCCTTTACTTCAGTTAATCATAAGTTTGTATTATTACTAACTAGTAGAAAGAATATGCAGCTGCACATTGATGGATCCAAAGTTGTGGAAACTGGAAACATGTCTTCATTGAAAACAACAGTGTTGTATTTTCATAAAGAAATGGTGACAACATGAAGCCACTTGCCAAGGCAAGTTTTGGCACATAGAGTAAAAATGGTTGTGTTTAAGCACAAAATAAGGGAAAAAAAAAAGACATGCAGCTATGATATACTATTAGTTAATTACATATTTATTAATGTTTCTTATTGGTGGATGACATATGCTTTTATCAATAACTGTGAATTTTATTAAAATAGAACATGTAAATAGTGCATACAAGGTTATAATGCAGTACATGAGAGATAAACCCTCTTATCTCTTGCCAAAGGATCTTTCTTTTTCTTACAACTGAACCCAAAAGATTTGATCTCTCCCCACCCCTTCTTTAGCTAAGGTATCTGGCAATGCATTATCACTTCTTTTGACCCATTTTAGCCTCAATTTCATGTCTTTTTTCCAGCCATCTGAATTTCTCTCTCATTGCTGTAACTCCACATCTTTGCCTCCTCATTTTGTTACTAGTAGTCCACTACCAATTTAGAGTCTCCTTAGATGGCTATCTTTTTTATATTCAAATTCCTTGCCCTTTGTACTTCCTTCAGTGTAGCCATAACTTCAGCCCTTAGAAAATCATCCACTCCAAGTGGGCTTGAGCATAAAGCAATTATTTGGCTCTCAATATCCCTAAGCATTGTTCCTATTCCTGACATTCCCAGATTCCCCAAGCTGCTTCCTTCAAAATTGGGCTTAATGAATCCTCTTTCCAGTGGAGACCAATAAGGATTGCTGACAATCTTTTTTGTGGATAATCAGCCACTTCCTTCCACTTTTTAAGGATGTCATCTATTGAAACGTTTGAGAAGGTTTCCAAATATTTCAGCCAACACACTACTCTAACCATAATGATTTCAACTATGGCTTCTTTGCTCCTTTCCTTTTCCACAAAAATTCTTGAGTTCCTTTCTTCTCAAATTGTCCAACTTATTGCCACCGTTGYGCATCTCTATTTGATTCTTCCCCCTTTTCTTTGGCCAAGCAAATGTTGTTGGAGAAAACAAGCTTGGCACATTAGCCAAAGGATTCCACCTACACCCAAACAAAGAGAAGAACTACTCCCAAATGTTGATTACATGGTTTCATTTATCAGCTTGGCTAACTATAATGTTTTACTCTTTTTATTTATTATTTATTTAAAAGAATCCATGCTAATGAGGTGTAGGCATCATTCTTTAGGAGATTGAAACACTATAACTCATGCCTTAACTATTTAAACCACTACTTCAGACTAATTAAACACATCCTTACAACAAAAATGGAACCAAAAGTAACCTCAAAGGCATAATTCCACTAATCTGGGAATTTGCCAATGTTCTTCATTGGATATTGTACTAGTAGCTCTCCTTTGGGGAATGATCCAAATCCCTGTTATAGTTTACCTGTGCTCAAATTTAGAATATGAGATCACATTGGCTTCATTGTTATGTTTGTTGTTTCCAAGATTTTCCCGAGGATTCCACAATGGATCATATTCTTCTAGGTTGAACCTGGCATGTCAGGGTGAAGGTTGGATCACAGTTAGGAATGAGAAATATGAACCCAACTTAACTTCAGGTTAGGTTAGGGTTGAGGCTTTGGGCAACTGGACCCAACCTGARCCTAAGAATAAGCTATATTAGCATCGGGGAAAAGGAATTCCTTCGTTTTCACAGATAGGAAAAGGAAGGCTTGGAATGGACAAGGGTGTTTTGGGCCTCATGGTAGATTCAAATGGAAAAAAATATTAAAAGGAAGGCAATGTTTTAAAAGCGAGAAACACGATTAAAATGCAAAGGGTTCCTAGAGACTAGAGTACCAAGAGCAAGGCACATGGTGAGGTATGCATTTGAATAAAAATGAGATGCCACTTTTGGAAAATAATAAAAGAATTTTAATATGCAAGAATATGCAAATGTACATTCTAAAAGAAATAAAATATTTCAAAAAATAAAAACTAGAAGCTCAATTCGTTAGTGTATCTTGTTATTAACACAAAGTTTGTAACCTCGTACATAGTCATATATAGGCTAAACTGTTTAAACCCTCAACATCATAGCTTCGCCTACAAAATAGTAAATTAACTATTCAATATCACATTGAATGCTAATTAATAGAAATATGGTAAGGAGACAGGTACAATGCACCTGGGGTCAGGTGAGGTACCGTCTATGAGCCAAGGCGTGGCCGATGCACACCTTTAAAAGATTGCAGCACATTTGGATAAATGTGAGTAACAAAGCTCCACATAGGAAATGGAAAGGGCTCAAAATCAAGATGGATGAGGTGAGTTGGATGCATAAATCTCAACGAAGTGGATGAGAGAAGGTGTAAAGGGGAAAAAAAATATTCTCTTTTTCTCCTCGCAGAAGGACTAGCAGAAGAAAGAAAACCAAAAAAAAAAAATCATTACCAAGATGAGAATGAGGGGAAATTGAGGAGAATCTTGATGGGGAGGGAGGGAGGGTGGGAGAGAGAGTTGTTTCCACTCAGGGGTGAGAAGTTATGTGAAAACAAAAACATTGGACAGTTTAGAAAATAAACAGTTCAAAATTGAGACAGTGACATGATGAATTTATGAACAAAGAGGGTGAGGAGATACCAAGAGACATAAAGAGTGAAAGGATAATAGAATGACTTACAGCATCTTTGGCTTGAAGCTTCTCTGCCCATCCATTCAGAACATAAGGGTCATTGACAGCAACACAAATTACAGAGTCAATCCCCTTTGCTTTGAACTTATCGATGTTGTTCTTGTAACTGGGAACATGCTGTGCAGAACAAACTCCGGTGAAAGCGCCCTGAAAAAAAAAAAAGAAAAGATAAGAAAAAAAAACACCAACAGGAGTCGCAAGGCATAAGGATAAGCAACAAGTGCGAGAAACCATAGTAAAATTCATAAAGAAAAAGAAGGAGAATGAACTTACAGGAAGCCCAAAGATGACGACTTTCTTGTCCTAAACATAAGATCACAAACCCAACAAACGAATAAAAAATTAGAAATTGAGAAATGAACAAAGAAAATGGGTTTCGTATTAGTCAATTCTCGCCCATTTTGCTTTGAGAAAGAGARAAAAGAATGCAGAGGCGACCTTGAAGATATCTTTAAGAGGTGTTGTAGAGAACTTAGAGGAGACACCCTCGTCCCAGGATCGAGCCTTCTGAAGCGAAACACCAGGAGCTGCAGAGACGATATCAGTACCGACTGAAACCGACGCGAATGCCCTGGAAACAGCAATTCGAAGACCACCCACAATCGATTTCATTGAGAAGCAGTTGGATCGCTTTAACATTGCAGACGCCATCGCTACTCTGACGACCGTGTTCTGAACTTCTTACCCCCACCCCACTCACTCCCACCGTCTCCCCACTCTCGAATTATTTCTCCTACTAGTAGTATTGTAGAGAGCAGTGAATGTAGACATAAGATAAATACTTAACTGTTAAACAGAGAGAAAATGGGAGGCAAGAAGACRAGTTCTTCCGAGGCTGAAACCGTTAGATTGGAGATTATCAAAACTCTGAGTGGGACCCACTTCCCTTCCCCTCATTTTGGAGTTTGGATTTGTGCCAGTTAAGATAATGGGCCTGGGCCTTTTTTAAATAGCCAAGATGGGCCTGGGCCTTGTGGCGACTGATTTGACCCCGACCACAGAAACTCCACATCCGATTGTGGTCAGCAGTGGCTGATGATAGGGGATCTCCTCCCTACAAAAACTCTGCAAGCACCCTCAAAGCACCGGCATCCACCCGTACAGTGGGAATATTTCCAAATTTCCCCAAGAATTTAAAGTGATGGATTCTTGCAGAGCGAAAACTCTGTACAGACTCTTTCTTGCAAGCATAAAAATCCAGTCGCGCATTGGATTCATTCACAGAGTTTTTGCTTGCAGGAAATCAGGACTCTTCCTAATGTGCAAGTGGTGTTAGTATGCATCGAGAATGGCAAAAGGTGACTTCAATTTCTGTGCAGGCCTACTGTTTGGGAAAGTTACTTTTTAAAACTTTTTCCAACGGTTAGACATTTTTCACTGTTATGCTGATGTAGTGCCTAGTGGCACCTAGTTGTCATAAACAGTTGCAATTTTTACTTTTCTCGATGTTGCAAGTAAATAAAATACAAAAGTTAAATGAAAATACGCCCACAGTTCCAAACACACATAATTTAAATGAGTTTTTATTATTAGTAACATCATTTTCTTAGATAAATCTATGATGTCCTAAAGATGATACTGGAAGAGTTTTGACCAATCAAAAACCCCGTGAGAGTTGTTTTGAATTTAACAAGGCCATCAGTTAGCACTATTGTTCCTACAAGCAGTGCTTTAAGACTCAAAACGGACATAAAACCTGAATGGTTTTACAAAGCATAAAATGAATGAAAACCTAATGGTTTGGCACTTGTACATGTAAGTTTGAAGTCTTGGGTTTGAATCATCCCACTTACATTTTAAGGATTATGTGGGTTGGATCGTTAAAATTCGACCAGTTTTCAATGGTTCTGCCGGGTTTTAACTGGTTCTTCCGATTTTTTTAAAATATAAAAACTGAGATTTAAAAAACCGGAATGCCTTTCGGATCCCAGGTTGAATGATCCAACCATTTGGTCTGGTCTTAGTATTGGAACATTGCTCGACAGTGTGGGAATTCCCACACGCTTTATGGCAGATTTGGGACAGCTCGACATATTGGAGATGCTGATCGATGGAAATAAGAGTATAAGACCATCGTTTGGGTGTATCCCCAGCTTGGCTGGCTAATCTAGTTTCTTTCACTACCCACAAAAATGGTTTGGCACAGAGAGAAACATCGATAATGAAGAAACAATTTGGTGCCTCAACATCTGGAACTGGTTTATGGTACAAACACTGCCTTCTATACCTTACATGGCCTTAGCAAGAGAAACAAAAGCCATCTACATGGACACCATCAATCATTCAAAGGAACAAGTATCAACATCCATCATCACCTTAAGCCCCTGAAATCACAGAATTGTTAGGATAATTATGAGGGATGCACGTAAAAAAGAAATTTTAGCATTCAAGCCCTGAATAAAAAAGGGTTTAGCTTTCAAGCACTGACTTAAAAAACAAAGAAAAAAGGAAATTTAAAGATGAATGGAGAGAAGTCATCAAGAAAGAAATTCATTCGTTACATTTCAATTACCTTACGAGGTCAGATGGTACAAGGAAAGGAATAAGTTGAAAACTAATGTAGAAGGCTAGACTATTAAGGGTCCATTTGATTCGCAGTTGGAATCAGAATCGAAATCCCTCAGAACCGGAATCGGAATGGTCCATTCCCCCATTGGTTTGGTTCAGATGGGAATCGGAATCGGAATCAAATAGAATGGATTCTCATTCCCAAAGGAGGGGGAGAGAATAGCCATTCTCTCAAATAGGGGGGAATGCCATTCCACCAGGAATGGGAATGGAATTCTGATTCCACCCAACCAAATGGTTGGAATTGGAACCAGACCCCTATTCCCGCAAACCAAACAGACCACAAATAAGTAAATACCAACTTAACCTAAATAAAATACATGTTATGCTTTTACAAAGATTGCCGCCCTAGCATACAAAAGAAAATTGTTTCAGCTTAACCAGTGAACATAGTTGTCAAGGCATGAAATTGAGGCTGGTCACAGTGGAGTGCTCTGTAACCTAGGCGATTAGGAGAGTGCCACCTAAATTGTGAATGTTATTAAAAGAAAAAATGGGTAATATTAGTTTGCTTCCCTAGATATGTGGCAATTAGAAAAACAATAAAAGTGATCCATCATCAAAGAATCAAACACTAAAAGTAGACTAAAACAACTTAATGGAAGAGAAAAGAAAGGACAGTCCCTTGAATTCTCATGTATTTTGTGCTTTTCATTTTACAAGGAATAGAGACTACCATAGTTTTCAAGGCGCCAAGGCGAGGCTAGGCAACAGGGGGGTGCCTTGTCGCCTAGGCGATGGATTTTTTAGGTAAAAACCACATATCCTAGGGTAGTTCTCTAGGTTCCATAACCAACTTTCCTTAATAACTATCCATAATTTTCATAAGAAAATTATAAACTTCATGTTTAAGTCTAGAAAATCAACATATTTATGAGAAGAAAAAGAAGAAAGAAAAGAAAATTCAAAAATTATAGGGGCTGAACCCCTATTTTTGTTATAGGAAAAGAAGAAAAGAAAATGTGGAAGAAGAAGAACATGTGGAAGAAGAAATGTGTTGATTAGACAAAATTTTAAGTTCTTCCCCTACTTATTGGTTCAGATTCTTAAGTCTTTGAGGGTTCAATACAGCAGTTAGCAATGTTTGTGTTGATTAAACCCTAACAAATAAGAAAATAATAAAAAGAAATTAGTTTATAAACACGAAAAATGAATATTTTCTTTAATAATGTCTTTTATAATTATAATCTCAAAAAAATAACAATATAAAAGTATTTTATAAGACAGTATACAGAACTGCTTGTCGCCTAGGCGGGCACCCATGCGTCGCCTTGACAACTATGGAGACTAAACTAACCATTTTGAAGAAAATAAATCCTCCAATACTTTTATTGCTCCACACCGTCTAGGGTCACTCCATAATACTTTTTGTTTTTAAACTAAGCCATAATTTCCCTCCTTTCCACCCTGGTAAGTACCTCAAAATATATCTAAATATTAGGACTTTGTTTATGATATACAAATTATAAGGGGACCTATATATGAACATCAAAAGACAGTGGAAGACAACATTCATAAGGTCCAATAAAGAGGTCTCCTGGGCTACAATGGACCCAGCTGAACCTGCAAAATAAGCCATTTGTTTTGTTCATTTCATATTTATGATTGTTTTTAAAATTAATTTCATTTGTATGATGAAATTCATTCATCACACACACACACACACACACACACACACAAAATTCTGATGAAACACACCCAAGGAAGAACCAAGAGAGAGAGAGAGAGGAAAAGGAAATCCAACTTTCATACTTGTGAACCTAAGAACTAAATACTTGCTCTTGATGAAGCAACCAAGAAGATTTTAAAGAATGGTCGATAATTGTGGTCATCTAATCAGTTGGCTTAGAACCATCAAGGTAGGCTTCATAAACTGAAGGATTCCAATATGCTATTCATGCAGTTTATGCAGGTATTTTTTTGAAAAAGATGGTAACTTTATTAATGAAACAGTGGGTACATAAGAAGATGTACACAGAAATTACAACTCCGATGTTAAGTAGGAAGAAAGCTATCACTAAACAAGAAATCCCTGTGAGCACCAGCTTTTGCTAGGCCATCCGCATCAGAGTTTAGCTCCCTAGGGATCCAACCCAGCTGTGCATTTAAGTTAGATAGGATATCTCTAGCTTCAGCCAGGAAATGAGCTAAAGCCCATGGACCACTGCCAGGGTCAGCTAGCCACTTGATGGTATTTGCTGAATCTCTTTTTATGATAATGTTCTGATAGCTCAGATCTCTTGCAATCCTGATTCCGGTTAGTGCTGACATGATTTCAGCCTTTGTTGAAGAGGCTATCCCTATCAGTCCACTGAAGGACCAATTAATTGTACCATCTCTTCTTCTAAAAATTCCACCAATTCCTGCTGCACCTGGGTTTCCAAACGCACTTCCATCAAATTACATGGTTATCTCCCCTTCTGCCACAGAAGAGTGGGGGAGGGGGTGATTAAGGACTGGTGTTTAGAAAACAAAAAAATCTGCAGCATTTCTTTGAAGATCAGAAAAGGAAACTCCAAAAAAACTGAGTTGGAAGTCCAAAGGAAAATTCTATAAGATATAATAGACAAGAGCTCCTCAAAGTTTCTTTTTCTTTTGTTGAAAATTCGGTTATTTCTCTCTTCCCAGATGCTCCAAAGGATAGCATGCGCTACAGAAATCCATAAAGTCCTTCCTCTTCTGCTTAACCCTCTTGTTGTCCATTGTCTGAGACAGTCTATCACATTTTCGGGCCAACTAAAATTGAAAAGATTGAGAAAGAAAATCCAGAATTTTCTAGTTTCCTCACAGTGGATCAGAATATGATTGGCTGATTCCCCAGCTTTTAAGAAAAAACAGCATACATGTGGGGATATATAGGACCTTCCTTGGTTCTTTTTCTAGAGGAGATCCAAAGTGTTGATCTTCTTCAGACTAACTTCCCACACAAAAAAAAAAACAAACTCTGGAGGGAATGTCAAATGTGTGTACACCAAATTGTCTTGAAAAGGAAATGTTCGGTTGTTTGTTCTTCCTTGATTAGAGCCCTGAAGCAGGACTTAGTTGAAAACTTACCTGTTGGGTGTAGGGTCCAGACTTGAGCGTCAGGGGTATTTTGGGAGAGGTACACCTCTCTGAGAGTGTGTAGGAATCTAGATATTTCCTCAAGTTCATTTTCTCTCAAAGGTCTTCTAAAGTCTAGGTTCTAGTTGAACTGAGAGTGATATATGAATAAGACAAGGGAGATGGGAGCTTCTTTGTTTCGAGTAAGGCTGTAGAGGCGAGGAGAGGATACAGCCAAGATAGAGTCACCCCACCAAACATTAGTCCAGAATTTTATTTTATCCCCATTTCCCACTTTGCACCTAATATAGGGAATGAAAATTTGGTAGGTTGAGAGTATACCTTTCCAAGGGTTTATGTCCTTGATCCGGTTCAAGTGCAAACTGCAGTCCCAACCGTTGGCGTGCTTCCCATACTTGCTGCTGATGGTCTCAGTCCATAGGGCATTCGGTTCCTGAGAAAATCTCCACAACCATTTACTTAGAAGAGCTGTATTTTTTTCTCTCAAATGACCTATTCCCAAGCCTCCATCCTCCTCAGATTTGCACACCTGGGACCAATTCACAAGATGAGATCCCTTTTCCCCACTTCCTTCCCACTGAAAATTTCTTTGAAGCCTTTCAAGCTGATTGGCAATTTTGTTTGGCATTCGAAAGGTCGAGAGATAGTATGTGGGCAGGTTTGCCAAAGAAGCCTTAATGAGGGTGAGTCTCCCGCCTTTGGACAAGTAGTCTCTTTTCCATGTGGCCAATTTTTTTCACATTTTTCTATTACTGGGTCCCGAAAACTTTGAATCTTCAGATTCCCTCCAAGAGGCATTCCAAGATAGGAAAATGGAAGGCTTTCAACTTTTACAACCCAAAATTTCCTTAAATTTGTTTAGGAACTGAACATTTACTATGTTCAGCCCTGCAATACTGCTCTTAGAGAAGTTAACACGAAGCCCCGAAATCCATTCAAAAACAGATTATGACCCTTTCAAATTGACAACATTGAAGGTGTGTCATCTGAATTAGCATAATGTCATCTGCAAATTGAAGGTGTGTCATCTGAATTGAATCTCTGCCAACTTCGTAACCCCTCACCAACCCTATCAGATTTTCCTTCTTCACTAGTTGACTGAATATTTCCATTACGAGAGTGAAGAGTAAGGGGGAAAGGGGGCAACCTTGTTTTAATCCCCTACTAGCCTTAAAGTAACCTTTAGGTTGCCCATTGATCAGGATTGAGAACCACATGGATTTAACACATCCCTCCACCCACTGAATCCATCTTCTTCCAAACCCCATTAGCCTCATGATTTCTAATAAGCACTCCCAATCCACTTTGTCATATGCTTTTTCCAAATCTAGCTTCACAATCACCCCTGGCTTGCCATTCATTTTCCTCTCTTCCACACATTTGTTTGCTATCAGAATGCTATCAACAATTTGCCGCCCTTTAACAAAAGCAAATTGATTAGGCGAAATGAAGTTGGAATTGTTCCCCTTATTTACTATGGTCGAGTGGTAAAAGTCTTTGAACACCTTTAGCAGATCTTGTTTGATAGTATTCTAGCAAGTCTGATAGAAAAAAAAAGTGGAAATCCATCTAGCCATGGTGCCCTATCACCGTCCATATTGAAGACTGCTTCCATCACTTTTTGTTCTTGGAATTCCCTTTATAACCAGATTTTACTCACCTCTGAAATCTTTGAGCCTTCCCAAGAGCTTAGAAAAGTGTCTACTTTCAGTCTTCGAATAGAGATCTTTGAAAAAGCTTACAAAGGCTTCAGAGATTTCTTCAGGGTCCTCCGTCTCTCTTTGTTCAATTTTTATTTTTGAGATGGGGTTCCTTTTCCTTCTCCCAAAACCATATATTTGAAAGAATCTAGAATTTTTATCTCCCTCTTTCAGCCATTTGATCCTTGATCTTTGTCTCCACTTCTTTTTTTGATAGATTTGTCTCCAATACACTTCTTCACGCCTTACCACCTTTTCCCATTCTTGTCTTAAGCTGATTCTCCTTCTTCTTCCACTCTCCTCTAACTGGCCGGTTTGCTCCTTTTGGACTTGGTAGAACTAGTCAACTACCCTCATGGTCTGTTTGGACTTGGTAGAAACTAAGGCCAATTGTGGGGTTGAAGGCCAATTGTCTGAAACTTAATAAGACAATGGTCATGTCATAAGCCCCCAATTTCTATCAAAAATAAAATGCAATAGGGGAAACCAGTATAGAGAATGCATATGGGCAGTAAGCCCCAACAAAACAAAAGAATCAATGTAAGGTGATCAAATTCAAATTATGTATATTCTACTTAACCCCAACAGACTGGGTTGATGATGGTGAGAGCTGAATCAGAACTTCTTATGCTTCATACATAATTCTAATACATAACCTATGGGTTTCGGCTACAGTGATGATTAGATAAGAACACTCTCATGTATTACATCCTTACCATGTCTATTGCTCATTGGATTCAAAGAAGGAGAAGTTCATAATTTTTTATGTTGTTGAAGCTTCTAGATAGCGAACGATAGAAGCAACAGGGATAACATGAAAACAACTCATTAAATCATCACTATTTTGGTTATGCATACATTAAAATTCAAGCATATAAATATGCATCATAGTTGGGATTTAGTTGGATCAGTTTTCCAAGGGCCTTTACCCAAATGCAACTGAGCTAGGTTCAGGATTGAATCTGGTGGCTCAAGCCCATGAAAATACCAACCCCACCTGACCTTTAGGTCCAATTTAGAGTTTAACCAAACCAGAATGCACCCTGATCTGGCTCTTACCTTGAATGTCCTCTTTAAAGTACTAGTCAGATATCTAGGACATATAACTGAATGTGTAATGATCAAGCCATGAAAAAACTATGTATGTACCTATTTTTCCTTTTTTGACCAGCAAGAGTAAAGAGAGTTTCATTAATTGAAAAAAGAAATCCCTCCACTCCAGACAGATAAAGTGCAAGGTACAAAGAGAACGACACTTGGCTATTTCAACCCCAATAAACAACAAAAGAAACAATAAGGATTTTACAACTAATCTCCTGGCCCTGGATTCCCATACAAGATTATCCCTTGTAACCCCATATCTTGTTAATGAATCTGCTATATGCATAAAGTACTAATTTTCTTTCTTCTCTTCTCTTCTCAGCCAAGTCCCACAAGAATACAAACAGTATGGATGCTAAAGGCATAATCTAGCTATGCATTTTAAATACTGTCGTTGTTTCCAGACCAAGGCCAATATGATGTGTAAAAGGCAAGCCCAACTTAACTTACATTTTGAATTGTGTCAGTTGGGTTTGGCTTAAGCCAGGCCCAAGTTGCTTCTCCATGATCATTATGCCAAGCCTTTAAAGTCTGAAATTCTTCAAGATCATAAATACAGCTCTGTGGATTGAGATGACTCTAAAAGGCTAACATAATAAATTTGTCATAATGATTCCCTACAACTAATTCACTTTAAGGCATGGAATAATGTGGGAAATTTGTAATATATTTCCAAGAGGAAAACAAATTAATAACATCCATCTTGGTCAGCAATAGATGAGAAGATTACAGGCTGTTCTTTATGCACCTAAAATCAACAAGGAAAAACAAAGCTCATAGTACAGTAGAAAGAAAAACACTACTCCACAATAATTAATCCATCAAAATACTAATTGTGCGCAAATGTGCACCAAATGTAGGAAACTGGAAGCAATAAATTCAGCTCGAATAAGATTGCAAGTAGAAGCACATACACACTTCGAAAATATATCGATGGTGAAAGATCTATATGATCAACTTGCAATATCATGAACTTTTGTCTTGAACAAATGTCACATGAATCTTTAATTAATATTTTACAACATATTAGACCTTACATGTTTAGTAATCCACCATTTAACAATGTCAAATGTACATAGAACTAGAGAACAAAATTATCATACTTAACACTACAAGAAAGGGAAGGCATACTCTCCAAGGGAGACATTCTACAGCAGACTACTTACTAGTCTTTTGGGCATGCCACCTTGCTATACTTCCATACCAATTCCATTGGAAAAACAGAGCTCCAATACGTAGAGCACCAGCAGAAACCACCTCAATAAATGCCATCAGGGGTGATCTCTGTGGTGATAAACCAGCAGTTGCAATAGACAGCAAGAATCCATCAAGGTTGCAAGGGACAATGAATCTCCCTGATTTTATGCCATCTAGAGCCTTTTTAGCAACTTCATCAGCCTTCATTGCACCAGACGAGGCTGCAATTATACTGGTTAGAAGTGGTCTTGTCTTGGTTTCTGCAATAAGTGAGCATATTTAGTAAAATATTCACTGAATGTCACCACGATAATACATTGAAACAGCAAGAAAAAATCCTTGAGAGCTGTAGTAGCAAAGTAAAGTTTGTTAGGAATGGTAGAAGACAAGGGAAATCCCTGTGATTGATCCTCCTTGGGAGAAAATCTGAATCTGTGTTAAGGATAAATTTCATGGATTGGAACTTTTAAAGTAGGGGATTGATAGAAAATAATTAGGTTTTAATTTAATCATTGTTAGCCGACAGTGTCTGTGAGGTAAAGGCTATTGGTTTGGAGAATGGATTAGCTGAACTAGATATTTTACAGGTAGGGATGATAATTTCAGCCTGGCCTGCATATATTTAGATATATGTATTTTATACTTAAAAGTATATATTTATATATGTTATTACATGTTATATGTAACTAGATATTTTACAGGTAGGGGTGATAATCTCAGCCTGTCCTGCATATATTTAAATATATGTATTTTATACATAAAAGTATATATTTATATATGTTATTTTATGTTATATGTAATATTCTATTTTGTGTAATGTATAAAATAAATGTATATGCTATTCAATATAAAATATTATATATTTGTAATATTTTATATATAAAAGACATAGGTCCAGAACCCGGGCCAGGACCTAGGCTATAGTCCTTATTATAGGTGCAAAGCCTAACCCGGCCCATGGTCGCCCCTATTTACAGGCTGTGGRACAATCATTTTGCTCCAAACCAGCCATAAATGCAAGTGAGAAATTGAGTTATTGTGGGCCTTATGCACTTTATGGCTGGCGAGGAGCAAAATAATTGGTCTCAAGCCTGTAAGACAACTATCAAGTTCAGCTAATCTACTCTCATTGGTTTGGTGTTTTAGGCTGTATAAATTTAATTGCTTGACTGTGGATTAGTAGAAGGCTTTGGGACGAGATAGGGGGCTTCTTAGGGTGAAATATAGGAGCTTCTATGGCCAGTCAATTTTGCATAAAAGGGTGTAAAGGTAATTAGATCTAGGATAGGAATATTGGGGTTGGTTACAATATGTCCAAATTGGTGACAGATATAAATGGCCACCCAGGCTAGAGGGCAGTTGCAGGGTTATGACAGAAAAAATTTTGAAAATCGAATTAAATAAGCAGAAAATATTATTCAACAATATAACAAGGATATAGTCATATAGAGCAGAAGTCAAATATATGATCCCTCTGCATAAAAGAAATAAGGTAGGTTGTGTAGGGATGAACCCAACATGACCCAAATATTAAATGCCACATACAGAAGGCCAGTTTTCAGAGCTTAGAGTATCTAAGGTATGACCCTGAAATGTAGGTCTTATTTCTTGAGTTTATTAGTTTTACTGGTTTTCGAATTAAGAGTTGATTCTTCATCTACTAGAAAAGTGTTGTAACTTCCAAACAATGTGCATCCAAATGGTTTTACCCAAAGATGAACTCTTGCATTCAAGATGTGCATGCAACCCAAAAAAATCTTTAAAAAGTATCTTATTAGAAGGATTTTTGGTTTCTTGAAGAACATTAGGACACCAGGTTCAAAGCAAGATTTCAGACCTTCCAAAAAGCCTGGAGTTTCAGTATCTGGAGGGAATATAAGTGATACATGAATGTTGTCTGCAATGACTTCTTGCTGCAATGCCTCTCCCAGCCCACGAAGACCAAATTTGCTAGCTGAATAAGCTGTGTAACCATAGATGCCCACCTACAATGAAACATATTGCAGAATAAAGACTTAGTTACATGGTGGAGAAAAAGTTACCAAGAAGCCCCAAGAACTAAAGCATTAAGTCCAACAAGCCATTGGAGTCCTGAAATGTGATCAATGATCAATCAAATAATACACATTTACACACATATGGATAACTTTCCCCTGCTGCAATGGTGTCTTGAGAATCATAGTAATAGCTGGTGCAGATTATAAGGGCAAAAGTAATTAAATCTACTTATTAAGATGGACAGTTGAGATTAAAGTTAATAGTTTTCAACATGCACTAGCTAAAGAACATGTTTCTCATGGATCATATTCAGGAAGCTATCAAATCCATAACAAAATCAAGTTCACCCAGCTTGCACAAAAGGATAAGAATATTCGAAATGTAGCTCTCAACAAAGAAAAATGTTAATAACTTGAGAACTCCCAATGAAGTTCACTTGATAGATGTAAGACGGAAGTTAACACAAAGAAACGGATTGCTCAAAGAAGGAAAAAGATAAGGAAAACAAGTATCTCTGACAGCAAACACTGCCAACAGCCCAACAAGAAAAGGGCGCACCAGCTAAGGATTCTTGACTTCAAAATACCACAAAAGCAAAGGATATTCTAGGCAAAGGAGCATCATTCTCCACTAAGTAAATATTGCAATATACATTTGATATTAATGCAACCATAAAATGTTTATAAGCGCTAAGGTACATATTTAATCTGCCATTGAAAATGCATGTCAACACACGATTATCTGAACCAAACAAACAATGAAAATTTCAGACGCTGTGCGCAGCTACATCCCTAAATTCATCAGAGAGGGAACAAGAAAAGCACATCATACCTGACCGGCTTGAGATGACATGATAGCAATCGAGGCAGGTCGACGATCCCCTCTGTTCTTCATATTAGGAAGAGCAGACTTAATGAGATGAAAAGTTCCCATCAAGTTCACATCGATCATGAATTTAACAGTCTCCAAGCTCTGCAATTCCAGCTCTTGGGGAATAAAGACCCCTTGATTGCATATAAGTATATCAATGGGGTCCGCTTCATCGATCGCTCGTTGGACGGCATCGGAGTCTCGGACATCAACGCTAAAGACTGCGACATCGATACCGGTGGAGAGGCGGATGGAGTTCCGAGCCTCTTCGAGCTTGTCTGCCTTGCGAGCAAGGATGGAGACTCGGGCACCCTCTGATGCGGCTTGGTGGGCCAGGGCGAGGCCAATACCACTTGATCCACCGGTGATGAAGACATGGCGGCCCTTGATCGGAATCTTGACGGGACGAGGGCGGACGAGTATGGTTAGAGTGAGAAGGAGAGCAAGAGGAGGCAGGAGGATGAGAACCAGAAAGAGAAGGCTTGTGTCCGCCATTCAGGGAGCTGGAGAGTTGGAGAGTGACAGTGGAGTGGAGAGCCTTTCACAAACAAAATGGAAGATATCCGTCGGTCCGTCCCTCTGTTCTGTACTCTGTTAGCCTCGAGTTGAACCGTTGAACTTTAGTCTTTCTATGAGCTGAGTGCTGAGCAAATACAAATCGCCCAGCGTGGCCGGCAATTCACATCTGCGCCCCACAATGCCCCATAGGGCACAGCACATCGCCAGTGTATTGGGAACATCTCCCAGTGATATACTTGCTAACGGGAGATGCTCTCAATACAAGGTGGGGATGTGCTGTGCCCTGTGGGGCATTGTGGGGCGCAGATGTGAACTCTCTGGCCAAGTGGTCACCAAACCGGTTTAGTTCGGGATCTCCTATTCACAAAATTCCTACCTCATGACACTACAGATGCAGTGTAACGAGGCATGGATAGGTGTGGTAAGAGATCCAAACTCTATAGAATACTCAGGAGTTCAAATTTCCTACCCACAAACACACAACTGGTTTCCACAGCCACAATACACTACGGTGAATTAGGGGTGCTCACGGTTTAGTTAACTGAATCATAGGGTATTTTTTCAAATCGACCCGATCTGATCGGTTTTTTAAATACCCAAATCGAAATTGAATCGATTCAATCAGTTAACTAGTTCACCGGTGGACCAGTTAACTGCAGTTCAGTTTTTTGGTTTTTTTATGCACTTAAAAAAAAATCTAAAACTGTCTCGACGGTGGTTGCTGTCAGTGCCGGCCATTTGTTATTCTCCTGTCGATGCTGGCCATCAGTTCAAATCCCACATCGAGCCATGATGCTTCTAACAAAGTTATTTTTAGAGGTTGTTGTAGGCTGTCGCGGTGAGAGCTTGAGAGGTGGCGCCTGGCTAAGTCGTAGAGAGGGGAGATGAGAGAGAGAGAGAGAGAGAGAAGAGAGATACAGACTATAGAGATGATGGCGGAGCCACGACCGGCGTTGCCGCTTGGTGTTGGTAGTTGGTGCGAGCCACACGACGGAGATTACAGGCGAGAAGTCGAGAACTACTGGCGACCAGCATTGCCGCTTGGTGCTGGTGGTTGGTGCGGGCCATGTGGCAGAGATGAGAAGCAAGAAGCCGAGAAGAGAACTGAGAACTGAGAGAGGATTACTAGTTTAGGTAGGAGAGATCGAGAGAGTAAGAAGTAGAGAAGTGAGAACTAAGAGAAAAAGAGAAAGGTTGAAAGTTTTGGCTTTCGAAGAGACAGACCGGCAGTCACCAATCCAAGACTTCCAGCCTTTTTCTTGGAACTTTTGAGTTTGATTTTCAATATATATATATATATATATATATATCAGCTGGTTCGGTTAACCGATTTTTAGTTCGATTTTAATCAGTTTGGTTTTTCAATTTTTTTTCTCACCTTATAATAAATTCACATCTGCTGAACTGCACCCCACAAAGGGGCGCCCCAGAGTATATCCCAACCTTGTATTGGGAACATCTCTCGATGTTGTCTTTATCTTTTCCATACTATCATCGAGAGATGTTGAATACAAGATGGGGCTGTGCTGTGGGGCACTGTGGGGCGCAGATGTGAACTCCATTACGGTCGTGTATATTATTAATGCACGCGTATAGTTTGTGGTGGGTATGGATGTGAAAAGAGTTTGCAGGTAAGCAATCGGCTCTGTTTGAAATGGTGGTTTCTGTGTTTGAGGCGAGCTATGTTAATTGAGTCATTTTGGTTAAACATATGTGTTCGAAATAAATGCCTATTTGGGAGAGCTTTTGGGATGCKGTTGAGTTCCAACATTCTGAGCCGAGTCTCATATGGAAATATCAAAAGTTGTGTTTGGTGAAAGCCCAAAAAGTCAATATGAGCTTTTTGAACGCCAAAACCATGATTGTATTATGGGCTTCTTTGGAAAAACTGGTGCTCAACTAGAGTGGCTCAATTATTGCAACTCATCCAAATCCAAAAGCTGTCCCAAATGGGACGTAAGTAGACTGTTCGTGGGTTGGACTCGGGTCTGGCTTCTGCCAAAAAAATTTAATGGACCTAGACCAAAGCTCGAGCCTGAAATAATGCAAAGTCAAGCCCAAAGCCCAGCCCATTAATAAGTCTAGACCTAAGTTAATTAGAGTAGCTTCATGTTACAGTCACAATTTTCAATTCTGGTGGTCACAATGCCCATATTGCCTTCCAAATTTTCACCTAATATAGCTTTAGAGGTTTTCATGTGAGGCCAAATTTTCACCTTAACTGTTCGAACAGCCGTCATAGCCTTGCATCGGGAACATTTCTGTACTTTTATGTTTTATTTTATGAGGAGATATTTCCAATGCAAAGCTTCGATGGCTGTTCAAATGGGCTTTGCACTGACTGAATCTGGTTTTTATGCTAGAAGCCATTTCCAAAGCCCTCCCAAACAGGCATTGGAAGGGATGCCCTGTTGATGTGACTGTGAGGCATCAATTAGGGATGCCACTCAAACCGGGTTTGGTTGGTGACCCAAGGTGCCTCATCCTTCACTTGACCTAACCCGACCATAGAAAATGTAATTTGTAACCAATTGTCCCTAGGTTAGGTCTGGTTCAAGAGAGGATGCATCAATTTCAAATTGATTATTGATCGGTTTTACAAATGTATATCCAAAACCTAACCAATTATTAATCAGGACTGATGGTGTGCGATCTAGTGCTTTTTGTTGTTGGACAGCTCAGACGCGGGGCTGGTGAAGTCGCCTAATCAAGCTGCAAATTGAGAGAAATCAAAGTGTCCAAGTTGTAATCAAAGTGTCCAAATTGTTTTACTCGTGGTGGGCACTTTGATGCTTAAGTTAGTAATGAGTATTTGGAGAGCTAGAAAGTGAGAGAGCTAGTGTGATTGAGGGTTAAATCGCTCATACATTTTTTTGAGGAATTGAATGCCTTTATATAGGTAAAGCTTGCCATGGGCTTCACGTAGTGCATCCGAGATCACTGTCCCTTCTGGTTTAGTGGTGATTTCACCTCCAAAGGCGGACTCCGCATAAAGCAATAATGCTTATCTGGTTGCCTCTGAAGCAAGCGGGAGGCAAGTCACTTGTGAGTCCAGAGGAGTCAAAGACAATAGCCCACTTGTGAAGTAGGTCGCCTGCCATGTTGTGCAAGCCGCTAACTCCGCCACCTCACTAGGTCGGCGGAGGCAAGTCACCTCTTACGTCGATCTGACACTTTTCGGGGTGCAAGTCGGCCTACTGAGGTGGAGTCAAGGTAGTCGAAATGGGTGCAACGTGTCCAAAGTGCTCCAAAATCACCCCTCATCAAGGGAGCATGTGGTGTTGTTTGACGGTTCTATGGTGCCATGTGTCGCAATGTCATTGGAGGGCCAAATCACCTCTCATCAAAGACAATTGGGTATGGCCTAATTAGACTCGATAATGTAACATTGACAAAAATGATAGTAAATACCATGGTTTTAAAAAACAAATCAGACCGGATGGTTGGATTGATTGACCAAGAACAATTATGGGTTTGAGTCTGATTTTAGACCCCAAAACCATTCGACCCAGGGTTGGACCGGGTGATTGGACCATTTAACTTGGGAATCAGTGACCAAAATGGTTCTATTTCTTGTCCGATTTTTCAAAACCATGATAAATACTAAATAGTAAACTATTTATACGCTGATAATTGTAACCAAAATCATCTTATATACTATCGATGAAATTTACTCTTAAAAATATAATAGAAGTACAATAAAATCAGGAGACCTTTTCATATTATTGGATAGATAATTGATTCGGAATAGCAACAACCAGTCCAGTCCCAATTATTAATTGGGAAACAAACACAGAACCACAACTTACATAGTCGGTTTGATCGGTTCGGTTCTATTGGATAAATCAGACCATTGACAGCTCTACCAATTTATGACAAAAATTTAAGTTTCATTTTTTTATAATATGGTTTTCTTGGGTCTCATTAAAATTAAAATCACATAAAAGTAATAATATTTAAAGATATCAATATATTTTTACATATATCTATATTTATACTACTCAATTACTTATAAATCTGTACCATTTATAAAAGTATAAATGGTCTTATTTTCAAAATTTTTTATATAAAAGTTTCCCTCTCTTATTTAACTATTCTAGGAGATCGGCTTCGGTCAAGGCAAACCCATGCTCACATCATACCAACAGCCTCTTGCACTGGGAATATCTTCCCATGAAATAAAGCACATAAATATAAAGATATTCCCAATACAATACTTCCAACGGGCGTTGCCCTGACCGAAGCTGAACTCCTATTCTAAGGGCAAATTAGTATTTTGATAAAGAGACCTTAATTGAGATGGTTCAATAAACATCACTCATTGTCATTAAAATCAAGTAAAAATACTACCTCAACAGGTTTAAAGTATCATTACATATCGGCTCGTATCGATCGATACATATTGTTCCGGGATCCTTCAGATACACCCCTACAGTGGATGTATCGAGAGTCTGACCGGTTCAGGGGATGGAGGGGTCCTAAACCGGCTCCCACTGTCCAGATTTATGGGCTTTTCATTGGTCCAGATTAATAGTCTTAAAAGGAAAGGTTAGAGACATGAACCGGCACTTGCGTGTGACAAATAAAATTTGTATACTATATGTCTCCGTTTATGGTTATTGTGTATTGAGGAGAGTTGCCCAAAACGAGGGGCATATATACATATGTACATATAAATCTTATTTTTTAAATGAACAATATAATATCACATCAACAGCCTCAAATAATCACACAATTCTTTTCTTATAAAAATGATAATAGTCTATTTCAAAATCGTATCACCCTGAGACAATTCATTCGATGCACTAACGGGATACTTACACATAAAATATAAATTAAAATACTACTTATAGCACAAAAGCCTCATTAGTTATTAGATGAACTATTTTTATATACAAGTCCCTTGTACCACTTAATTATTTCAAATACGAATTAATTCCATACACTATTCACATGTAAATCCCAATATTGATTTATGTCAATAATTATGGGGTCGGGTTAATCCAGGTATAACTTCACATTAATTGTAAGACCCATGTGAACCAGCCATGAGTGCCAAGTCTCAACTTTCACCCAAGGACTAAGGTGTCAATAAGATATTCTTGATATGAGGTGTATCGAATCCGTATCCATAATCATGAATACATGATACAGTGCGATTTGATAT